CAACCCCTACTTCCATTTTTTCTTCCATGATCTTCTTTCTGTGGGTGAATTCACATTAAAATCTATTTAATTTGAACACCATTTAAACCATATGTGGTTATCTTTAGGTCTAAAGCTAAAAGTGTTACACGAGACCAGTGGTGGACCGAGAGCTTTTGTTAAGGAGGGACACTGCAAAATGGATAGAAATGGGTCGGGGTCACATTGGGTGTGAAAATGGTTTATTCTTCTCGGGTTGACAATTTTTTTAAATCAATGTCAGTTTCAAAGGATGTGCATCTATGAGGGCATCCCCATTGGTAGGATTATTAAGAGATTAAATAAGTGACGTGACAGATTTTTTATAGAAGCATCATTGAGAGACATAAATTATTTAATGAGATTATTTGCTACAATAATCTGGGATCAAAATATGAATCCAGATTATTTTAAGATTATTTAAATTGTATATGTAATAGAAGTTAATGCAGGACCAAAAAAATCGGATTATATGAAGATGATGGTTGGGAGACATAAACGAATATTGAGATTATTTAAAAATTAATTATATAACAATATTTAAAAGGTAAGAATCATAGAAAAAATTGATTATTAGAGATCATGAATGGAGATGCTCTGATTTATAGGTCTAGTTTTAACCTATTATGACAATTACGGTTTCCGAATGCTTTTGACTCATGTTCATTGTCATTACAGACAAACCACGAAAATATAATTAATACTCATTGTAAAAGTTGAATACAAAAGTTTGGTCATTCATTTGTTGGCTCGTGTTTTGAAGCTAAATAGTATAAAACGATATATAGAGTATGAAGTTGTAATTAGGATCTTGTTTTGAACCTACAAATATATAACAATATATAGAACGAAGCTGTAATGATCAAAGTAAACAATTAGTTGGCCTAATTATCGAGTGTTTGGAGTTAACTTCCGCAGTTTACGGTTTATCTCCATGGGACCATATATACAAGGACGGATTCAGGATTTTGAGTCAAGTGGGACGATTTTTTTTCGTTAGTGTCGGGGGTGAAAATATCTTCACTTGTGTAGGGCTATGCGAAGAGTCATCTATGCGAGGCAAATATTTTTTCGCTAATGTAGCGGGCGAATTTTTTTCACTACTGTAGTAGGGCTATGCGGCTAGTTTTATTCAAAAAAATTTCATTAATACATGTACAATGACATTCTTAAGCTTTAAATATATTAGTAGTACATATTAAGTCTAGACAATGGAAAGATAACTTTGATTTTATAATTGAAGTGCTCTAAAAAAAGTACTGATACATTAAAGTGTAAGAAATAGCAAATCAAAGAAAAATTATTTGAAAATAAAAAGGGATATATAACATTTTATCAATTTATTTGAAGATAACAACTTTAAAAGGTATACATCAATCAATACTTTTTATTTGAAAATATATTTTAAACCGCATGAATCTTATCGGAATAAAGATTTGATTTTGAATTGCAATTTTTGTCTACCAAGGAAGGTGTTCGTGAGTCACAAGGAGTTTTCTTGTTATTATAATAATATGTATGAGATTGTTATTTTTAAAATAATACTACGTATTATATTGCTAATTCATATATATGGTGCATCTTATATTTGTATTTATGCTAAAATAAATTAAAGTTTATTATCTATGCAATACATTATTTTTAAAAAGTAAGAAGTAAATGAATATTGTAATTTAAGTTAATGTCAACAAACATCTACATTTTGGATTCAATTCACATGATTTAAAAACTGTTTAACCAGTGTGTCTCGTATTGAATATCATTTGATATTTTACAAAGTCGAGTACTAACTATCTAATAAAGATAATTAAACATTACAAAACTAGGAATGTTTATATAATACTACGTAAGTATCATAAGTCTTAAACAATGAGTTGTTCTATTGTTTATATGCTTAAGTTATATAAATTATTTTAGATGTTTCTTCTTTTAAATTTTCAATTATGCATTACATTATGTAATAGTTTTAAAAATCAAAAGGTAAGGGGGGCGAAGACATGAATATCTAATTAAAGTATGAAAATTTTATTAAAATACTATATATATTATAGAAATTTTTGAAAGTTCAAGGGGGGCGGTCGCCCCCCGCGCCCCCCTTAAATCCATCCCTGCGTATATAGCAACAATGACTTTAGTGTTACCCATTTCAAAGACAACAGGACTGGGGTGTTACCATATAATTTTAATTTATCTACTTCTATATATTTTCAAAAAAGGAGGAAGAAAAGAGTATAATATAGCTAGATGACGTTTACAGCCATTGCTTATCACGAATTTCAGCTAATACAAAATATATATAATTTCAGCTATAAAAAGACTCAAATAATTAAGGCAATAATGTGAAACACCGATGTATGATGGTAATTAAGAGTCCATGTATGATGGTCCAGCTTGCTCTTTAATGTGAAACACCCAAAACTTAAGATATGCCCAAAACTCATAAGACTAAAGCGGCAACAGAAAAGAAACATAGCAGTACTGCAGTAGGTCTAGTTTTAACCTATTAAGACAATTTTGAACATAATATTTAGTTCTTTGAAAGAAAGACATGACATGGATTGCAACTAAATCATCTTTGCACCGTTTATAATTTTCATATTATAAACAATCAAAATTTAACATTTACAATTGGGACCGTGTCTAAACCGTAAGCAATCATTCCATCATAATTTCATAGTTGTTTAAATGTCTTATAACAATCTCCATATACTTTTTGAAGGGATTATTACCTCATTAATAGTTATACGGAGTATTTTTTCCAGATAGGTGGGGCACTATTTAGTATTGTTATCTTAAGTACTAATACAAAAGTTCGGGGTCGGAAGCGGGGGCACTTGCCCACCTAGGACCCCCCCAGGTCCTCCACTGCACGAGACAAAGAGTGATGAAATGAAAAATGAAGGTAATAGTTGTGAGTATAAAACGAACATTAATTTAATTTCACTCCAATTTATTCATATGAACACTATTGCTAGTTCTAATTTAAATCCATATATAATTTTTTTCTGTATTATTGTAATGAGAAAACATAAAAATATTGGTGTAGTTTTTAACATACTGTATTCCAAAGAGAAGCAATACGTAGATCCGCCGGCCGCATGCGGAAACCCTAGAAGGGTGAGCCACCGTTTGGAGAGGAACGTCGAAAAGTTTTGTCGTCTAAGCTTAAAAAAGTGGTCTATACACTCGTATGAATGATGTTTTCTTCCCAAGGATTTCTAGAGTTCTTCTTCTATCAATTTTGACAGTGATATTATGAATGATTTCTTCTCAAATTAATGAGGACGAAGTTTTGCTGACTGAGGCTATGGCGTCAAGGGCGGCAAATAGGATCCGAGCGATGGAGGATGAAGATGAAGTGATGATGATCCCCCCCCTTCTGAACCGCCATCATGGAGAAATCTGTGAGACTAGGGTTCCCGCCACTGCCATGGATCATCTAATCCATCAGTTTATCTTTTTGAATTTCGTTTGATTCTGGTTTAAGTTTTTAATAAGGAACTCTGTTTTTATTGTTTTGTTTTTTTGTTAAAGTTCATGGTACCAGATTTATTACGGTCGCTAAGGTTTCGGCTAGATTTGATATGGTTAGTGGGGGACAGATATATTTGTTCAACAATAGCTGCACTAAGCCCGTCTGGTGGTTAGCGATTCATATTGTTCCTTTAGGGGTGATCGTCTCTATGTCTAATCGTAGGGCTATAAGTAGTAGTTCGAAGGTAAAGGTTGTAATTAGTGTTTTTCATTCTGATATTGATGTAAATATCCCGATTCTAATTAATGATATCATTGTAGGCGATTTCCTCTTCAAAAAACATACCGTATTTCATTGTTGTTGAAAGAAAAAGATTAAGTAATTGATCTGTGCATAACAGTAATCACGTGCGGTAATACGTAGTAGAGGCGGCCTTTACATAGTTTAGGGTTTCTTCTTCTGCCGATTGTGTGCGGCTTTTCTTTCGATCGAAGTGCATGGCCTCTGGATGATCGGGATCGCAAGCGATTCAATGCAATTAATTGCTAGACAGATGAAAATTTTAGTCGGGTCACCTGACGTTAGAGAAGGGCGGATCGAGAAGGGTAGATGCTTCGACAAAGATGAGTGGGCGATGGACACGACATATGGGAGATATGATAAGAGGAATATACTCCGATTGTTTTATGCTTCGATCCATTCCGCGTCAACGATCATAACGATGGTCTGGCCTCCTCCTGAACCACCACCAAAGGTTAAACGAGGTGTTAGGGTTCAAGAATTTTATTTTGCTTCTTTATATTTCTTCAGGTTTCACTTTTATTTGAATCTTTACTCTGTTTTGCTTGTGCCGTGTTTTTTCGACAAAAAACTCTAGATTCCAGGATAGTTGATGAGGAGTCTGGTCTGCATCCTGCAAGTCATTGACTCAGTTAAGTCCAAAGCGGGATCAACGAATTATATTACTTCTACAAAGGTGATTTATTCTAAATCTAATTCTAGGTTGGAAGACAGACAAAAGATTTAGAGCCCGTTTGGTAGCACGAAAATCGGCTGTTTTGGCTGTTTCTGCTGAAATTTATGAAGTTCTGGCTGAAGTGGCTGTTTTGGCTGATTCTGTTGTATCTAGAAAAAAATATTTTAAAAATATATTTTATTAATAAAATAAAGAAAAAATTACATGTAAAAATAGCTAAAATGGTCATCTACAGTAACTTCAGCCAATACAGCCAGAAAAGTAACTCCAACCTTACTTTTTCTGCTTATTACACAATTCAGCACGCGAAAATAAAAATTACGTGTTTGGTGAAAAAGCTGGCTGATAAGCCTGATAAGCCGAAAAAAGAGGTCTCCAAACGGGCTCTTATTGTCATTTTGTAACTTGCTTACCTGTTATGATAATTTAACCGAGTTGAAAAAAATTATCCTCCGACTCGTGCTTGATATTCACACCACAATTGCGCAACCACGTCCGTAAGGGTGTAGCCGGCCCACTTTACTTGAAGCCCAAGCCAAACAATTAATCGTGTAGCTTAAAACTGGAAGATTTTAAAAGGGAGAAATCTTTAAGCTCCAATCAATTTCGCTCAATTCCAGGATTTCCGAACAGTCGAGAGCATGGGAGGCCACGGTGGTCTGAATATTCTCCCGCAGAAGCGATGGAACGTCTACAACTTTGACAACCGCGAGAAAGTCCGGCTCGACGAGGAAGCCGCGGCTCGGGAAGAGCAACTCAAACGCGAGGATGCTCATAAGCGTGATATGGAATTACGCCTCGAGAAGCTCAGGCAAGCGCGTGGATTGGCATCCGCCTCCACGAACGAAACCCCTAAACCCTCTTCTTCCGAATCGAGATCCGAAGCGATACTTAAGAACGATTCGAACCACGTCAATTTGTTCGAAGGAATTCGGATTTTCGACCCGATTGAAGAGAAAGATGTATCCAAAGGCCAAAGGCCTGTTAAGAAGGTGAAAAAGGAACAGCCTCCGAGGGTTGTGACATCAGAGGATCAGAAGTATAAACTAGGATATGGATTTATTGGGAAAGGGACAAAATTGCCTTGGTACATGGAAAATCCGGCCAACAAATCTGTTAAAAAGAGCAATGATGATGATGAGGACATCATGATGCCTGTTGAGAAGAAGAGCAATGGAAAGAAAACCGTTGAGGAGTTGCGGAAAGAGCGGTTAGAGAGGGAGAAACGAGAGAAACATAGACAAAGAGCTCTGCTAATGGAGCAGAGCCGCAAAGATGGAGGGTTTTCTAAACGAAGATGAGGTGTGTACCCATAATGTCAAGGTTATTTTTCAAAATGCAGTTGTTTATTCTGTATTCTGTTTAGTTTTGGATTCAATTGGGCCTTTTCTTTTTCAGATTGATGCTAGTGCTTTCAATGTTGTAGAATAGTTGAGTTTTAATTGTATGTGTGATGATAGAGATATATAAAAAAGTATTATCATGGACTTTTTTTTAGCTCCTATCCTTTTATAGTTTCCAATTATTCTGATGTATCTCAACTCTTCAGATAAGAGTAACCCGCATAATACACATGTTAATGTTCTAATTGTGTTTTGAATGTAGAAATTTGTGAAAAATATTACATCTTCTTCTGTTATCAATCTTTAAGATCTGAATCATATTCTTGTTTGTTTTCACTACTATCTTATTAATTGGTCATCTTCATCTTCTTATAAAGTCAGCGATATTAAGCCTATGCCGTATTATATCATCTAAACTGTTTAAAGTACTACTTCCAATGTTTTTTAGTTTAGCTCATAGAATTTTCATGGAATTTAAGTGTAAAATTGTCGAGCATAGTGAATACTTTAGGAAAAAACGTTGTAAAGGCAATGAAGAGAAGATGAAAGAGAGTATGTTAATAGTCCATGAAAGGAACGTCCAATAACTGAAGAATTGAGGATGTAGTTAACATTATAAATTGAAGCAACATAGTGCCAAAGCTTAATGCCGGGTGTTTATCCATTGTTGCAGTTTTTGTTGGAACAAATACTGAGTTGAAAGTTGAAACTCCATTCTACAGTGGTCATGACTCATGACTTCTGGAGTTGGACTCTTCTTTAGGACGGAGTGCCTATATCTTCTCTACTTGCATGTGAAATATAGTTATCCGGGACTTGTGAGGCAGCTATAAGTTTAGATAGTGATTGATTTTGTAAAATCAATATCACATTATGAAAGATTTTAAACCATTCTCTTTGTTTTAGGATGTAGATGTGTGCTTATGGTTTTGGTTTTCCTCCTTGTGCAATAACCACTTGGGACTCATCTTTTCTTCCTTCTCTCACAATAAGTACAAAATTCTGCATGAAAGCTGAACTAGTATATCAATAATGGTACATACTGACTGAGCGACTGTAATATACTACATATGTAGTATAGTCCCATGATTTTTCCTTGACCGTGGCCAATTGAATACATAATTGAATTACAGTGGCAAGCTTTGATATGTTTGTTTTATCATGTTTTCACCAGTCTGTCATAACTATGAATTTTATTTGTATTTTTTAGAAGAGGATTTATAGGATGGTAATGCCAACAAGCTCTCTCTGGTTGTGGTGGAGGATAATGGTGACCCTCGTGTGTTTTGCTGTTCAGTTTGCCTGAAAACCTAGAGATTGGTACATTAAACGGTTAGAGATGAGAAGTTCATAGCGCCGTTTTCAGTAAGCCAAGCCAGAGTATGATGCTAGTAATAGTCGACCTATTAAAAATTATATTCTCTTCGATTTGTAATGATGTTCCTTTGCCATCCTGAGTCGATATTTGTAAGACTAATGTGCCCTGTACATTGGGTGACTGCAATCAATGGTATATGGTGTTCAACTGATGTCAATCAGTCGAAGAGACAAAGATGAGTTTGAGTTCAATTTGATAGCTTGACTGAATTAGTTCCATCACTTCCATGATTCCATTATTTGTGTAGTAACTATTGTATAAAAACATTGCACCCTCCTTTTCTATTCTGGCTTGGGACAGGCATGATACCAAAAAATGATCTCATGGCGGAGTTAAATTTCAAATATTGTTATGTCCCAAAATTATATTCTACGTTGGCCAAAAGAAGATGACATTTCTTGTATTTTACTCGATATTTATTTAACTAGGATATACTCCGTATGATTTATGACAGTTGTACGTTTAAAAACTAAAATATTTTAAACTGATATATATATATTGTATCATGCAAGTGTGTTGGTCGCTTCTCATTATTGGGTCATCAAAGATACGGAGTATATACAATGCTGCTCCGTAATCCGTATGAAACACTCAAAGGTGCATAGGAGCAATATGGTAAATGATGCTCTCATGATATCCAGAGTACCAGAAACATCTATTGTGTAAAGCAATAGGAGTACTTATTAAAAACCTGGAGTGGACTCAATTTGTAAATTAGTTATTTTTTGCATTTTGGTATGTCACAAGATTGTAGACCCAAGCATCTTTTTGCTAGGAAGCACGGAAACTCTTCATGGCTCACGTTTCCACGTTTCGGAAACTCGGAAGCGTTTCGGAAATTTGGAAACTTCAAATTCCCGTTTCGTGGCCGTTTCCGTAATTAAGAAAAATTTGGAAACTTGTTTCACTACGTTTCGGAAACCTCGGATTCCAATTTTTTTTTCTTTTTCAAAAGATTCTGTGGTGGAAAATAATGTTTATAGAGAATTTTTGTGATATTTCTCAGCGTCAACACTTGTTACATTTCGTAACACAATGTATTGCTAGAAATGTATTACTCCATACATTTTATGTTTAATTATGTACTAATATGAAATAATATCTAAATTCAAACATGTAGAGTGATTTTATTATTTGGTTACTACACAAATTATATTAAAAAAACATGTGCATATGGAAAACTTGTGTACATATATTAAAAAATATTTATAAATATATCCTTATATTTTATAATATTTACGCGTTTCCCCCACGTTTCGTGTCCTATATTTTTTAGAAATTACGTTTCTCGCGTTTCCCGTTTCCCGTTATATGTTTCCCGTTTCCGTGCTACTTAGTCTTTTTGTCAGAAAAAAGTAGGTTTAGCCTCTGCCCAGAATGTCGCCTTTCTTCTTCGATCTCCAGCCTCCGCCCAGAATGTTGCCTTTCTTCTTCGATCAACCTCTTCTTATATGCGCTACCTTGCTTCGTATCCAGGTATTTTATCCTCCACGCTCCTTGTTTAATTTGAAATGCAGGAACGATCTTACTAGAAATTAAAAACTTGACCAAAAAAACTCCCATCCGGTTAATCGTTCATTGATCGAAAAACTTGACTGAAACGCAGGAAATGGTAAAGACTTAATCGTTTATTGAAGAAGCTATAGAGTCGATTACAAAAAGTACCAGTTTGAATGGTTCGTTGGAAGTGATGTACTAGTTTTAAAAATGCATATATGTATGAATCAACCGTTGGGCAATATTGACACTAATAAGAGTATGAGCTTCAAGTTCTTTATCCGAAGTTCCGGTCTGATCTCATAATGGATGCCGTGGTTGCTATTTCATTCTATAATGGCTCTTCTACTGCTTTTCTTTTGCATGAAGCTGGGAGATGCCCAGATCTATTTGTGACTTTTTTCTCTGTTTGCTTTGTTCTTTTTCTTCGCGGTTTTCCTTTTTGTTTTGACTTTTTATTCTCTTTTTTCTCATTTGGATTTCCCTTTCTCTTATGCTGTTTTGACTTTTTCTTTCTTCTTTTACCATCATGTTTTGCTCAATCTGTTGTATGGAAAGATTCTTTTGCATTTTGAACCAGACACAATCCCTTCCCAATTGCATGTGAGTTTGTCAAGTGAAATGCACACATAAGACTAATCCTTAGTCATGGACTCGGGTCCGGGTCGGGTCCGGGTAAGGCCTAGGCCCGGCCGGGCTTTTGTTTTTTGGTAGAAGACCCGGGACCGGCCTGGGTTACCACCGGGTCGGGTCGGGTCCATGGTTTTTTTTGCTTTTCTTAGTAACCCCCGAGCCCCCCAAACCCCCCCAAAACACCCAGCCCAACTCAGGGAAAAGTCCAAAACAATGAAAAAACCAAAAAAAAGGAGGCCCGAACCAGGCCCAGGCCGGGTCACCATTTGTTCAGCCCGAGCCCGCACCCGCTATTACCTCCGGTCTGGGTCAAAGACCGGTACCGGGCTCGAAGCGCCGGGCCGGGCCGGTTCACGGGTCGGGTGGCCCGAACCGAGTCCAAGACTACTAATCCTTGTAGACATCTGAATTTCAGCACCTAAAATGTGTCTAAGATGATTCTTATCTGGGTGCAGACTCGAGAGAAGCAACCGGGTGTCAGCTTCCTTGCCAGTTGACCATTACCTTATCTTTTCATCTAGTGACTCCATTTCCATCTGCACTTGTTTGAAAGCAAAAATATGTTCTCACGGTTCTCAAATTTCTTAGATAATCTGTTGTTTGAAAATTATTGCTTAGTTGCAAAGTCATCCTATAATTCAAAATATATTAAATAAAAACTAACATGTACAGTCTTCACTATCCCCTTTTAGATTAATGTTTTAGGATGCAACTTTATGTGTTAATATGGCATTAGTCTTTTTTAAACGATGAAACCTATGTGTTAGTATGCCGGCTGTGATTTGTTTTCTCGGTGTCCTTTAAAGTTTTAACCATTGGGTTCAATGTGGATTATTGACAGAAAAACAAGAATGCAATATTCAAGATTGGACAGAACGTTGACCATTGTATACCATAAGTCCATAACATTCCAACACTAACATAAAAGATGAAATACTCAGCAGAGGGTTGAGAATATGAAATCTTACATTAGTCTCAAGTCTCAAACATTTGTCTTCCTTCTCCTTCTACACGCTTGTCGACTTTCTCTGCCTACAGAAGTGCGTCACCAAAGATGGTTTGATGAAAAACCAAAATCTAAAAAACAATGTTAATCATGTACTCCCTACGTCCCTCTAAAATTCTTCTCACTTTTTTGGGACGCCCCAAAAAATTGTTCTCATTTCCTTTTTTGAAAAGTTTTGTGTGGCTCATTTATCTTTTTCTTACTCAACTACAATCACACATTTGCACTTTATTCTCATGTTCTTAAACTCTGATTCAAGTTAAACCGAGAAGACTTTTAAGAGACGGGGTAAGTACAATTTTGAATTGTTTCACGAGGACAAATAATTGAGTTGTTTACGGCTTTTAACTCCTTATCATTTTGCTCATCAGAAGAGTGACATGTGCTCGGCATGTGTGCAAAATATGAATTATCAGTAAACATATAAGGTTTATGAACATTAAATAGCAACGTTGTCTTCCAAGAGGTTGAACTTTGAGGTGGATTGGAGCTTAGTTAGAAATCAGAATATGTAGCCAGTGAATACCTCTTTCTCCTCTGGGATCACTTGTCAACTATTCTCAGAGCTGTGCAGCCTGCGCTTCTGAAATTTCTTTTTTGCCCAAGCAATCGCTTCATCCACACCAATCTCTTCATTATTTACTCCTCTAAATCTTCTCCCATTGATCTCAATAACATATGAGCTCAATAACTTCACCTTCCTCGTATTTTTTGGAGACTTTTTGATCACTCATTGCTCTTCTTGAACACACGATAATCTATCATGTTATTTTAAGGTATTGTTCTCTTACTTCTAAAATAAAAGTTTTTCATCAACTTACAGAGATTACTGATGTTTAATTGGTTGGTCACTTTATAGAGAAAATTGTCCAACATGGGACTAAAACTCAACTTTTTTCCCAAAATAGGATCACATTCATGTTTTTCCCTAAATAGGACTAACCTTACCATTTTTACCCCTAATCCTATTTAATTAATTAATAGATCTAAATAATTGTCCCCCTAGTTTCCTTGCACAACCAAGGCAGTCCTTCGGAGACGAGGCAGTCCATGGTGGCGGCAGAACTCCGGCAGCCGGTCGGCAGTGAATTTCGGTGGCGGCGGCGAACTCCAGCAATTAATTAACCCAATTAATTGTCCCCCTAGTTCTCTTGCACAACCAAGGCAATCCGTTGGTAGCGGGTCAGTCCGGTGGCGGCGGCGGCAGATTCTGGCGGCGGCGAACTCCGCCGGCGGCGAACTCCGCCGGCGGCAGAAATGCTAGGAAAAGTCCACAAAAAAATCTGGAAAATTTTCCAGCAGTGGTCGTCGGAGCTTTGGCAGGGGCTTCGGTCTGGCGGCAGCTGGTGGTGTTCGGCGGCAGGCAGTTGGCAGCAGTCCTGGGGCATCAATAGGGGTATTTTGGTCTAATCACATATAAAAAGTCATATTTAAGAATGTTTAAACTAAATAGTCATATTTAAGAATGTTTAAACTAAATGATCCTATTTTGAGAAAAATGTCATGTTTTACTTCTACTAGCGTAAAAAACCCTACTTTATACTTCGTATCTCAAGATTTTTTGTTGACACTTCGTATGCAAGCTAGTAGTATGGGGAGGTGGTTAGGGACAAATTGAAGATTTAAAGTCAAAGAGCAAAACCTTTTCGCTAGTATAAGGCTTTATCGATTTTTTATTTAAAAAATATCATTATCAGAGATGCCACATTTAAATATGCACATTCTCATTCTACACAATAAGCAAAATAAATTAGATTTTATAATTCAAGAAAAATATAAAAAAATGGCAAATAAAAAAATTGTAATAAAAAAGTTAGAATTTTACCAAATTACTGATGGCAAATAAAAAGAAATGTAATTAAAAAATTAGAATTTTACTAAATTACTGGATGATAAAGAATCTTATCAAATCAAATTTAGACAATTTATAGTAATTAAAATCTTGGTTAATTAATTCACTAAGTGTGGTTAATCAGGTGTTCACCCGTAATTTGGAGTGTCATGGATTGTAAAACTCAAATGGGAACTTAGCAATCCTTAAGATCGTTTTATCTTCACCCCTCCCTTTTATTATAGCTAATCTTCAAAATCTTTCTCCTTCCAAACCCCCAAATATACCCAAGGATTGATCAACATAGCTAAGCTTTCTTCCACTATAGGGAGCTAGTCTCCAAGAGACTTGACTACTATCAATGAATGGAAAAAACTTTGGACGAAGTCTACGTCTACATCTACGTAGCCATTTATCACGGGAGAAGATGGAGAAATGAAAGATAAGAAATATACTAACTACGAAGTACTCCCTCCGTCCCAGGGAGAAGTTCCCACTTTCCTTTTTTGGTAGTCCCAACAAAAAGTTCCTATTTCCCTAAATGGAAAGTTATCCTACATCAAAACAGTGTCAAACCGTGCAAAACGGTGTCAAACAGTGTCGAAACAGTGCCAAACAGTAAAATTTACCCTTCAGTAACTTTATTTCCTAAATATGTGCGAAAGTCAACCCGGGAACTTCTCCCTGGGACGGAGGGAGTACTAAAGATTAATGAGAGGCCGTGAAAAGAAAACATCGAGCTCAAACATTACCCACGAATAATGACACTTTTAAGTGTCACATTTAGCCGCTATTAAACACATGCTTTTGTGTAATCTCAAAAATGAAGAACTCAATCGTGAGTAACATCCGCTAAAATGACTCTTATTACCCTTATTTTTTAGAATTGACCAATACAATTTCTATCATCAAGTAAATATCATAAATCATCATACAACCTCATATTAGCATGATCCTCCCAACAAAACAAAAAATGACTATTATTACCCTTTTTTTGCATTGAATTTGTCTTTTTTAAAATTGACCAATACACTTTCGTCTCATATCTTACTTATCTTTTTTAGGCTTGAAAGCGTACCTTAACTCTCTGTCTCTTAATAGGTACATTTATAATAATAATAAATCTAATATTGCGTATTTCTTAACTTTCCCGTATTCGTTGATTTTACGATACATTTTACAAATTAGAAATGTAATAGGATAACGTTATGAGCACACAGATATAAAATTAGGTCTTATGTTAATCACTAGATAGAGGCCCTCTTTGTCCTCTACTTCCATAATCAAATGGAATGAAAAACCCATTTTTATAGCCCAATGTTGTGAACATTATTCCCTGAATTAGATCGTGAATTTAATTCTTGGTAGAACTTTTTAAAAACTTCTACAGATTTTTTAATTCTTGTGAAAAACTTAAGGAGTATAATACTGCAAATTGTATTCCTGAAGGGGTATCATTTGTCTTATAACACCATTACTGTAAAGAAGAGACGTTTGGGTAAAGGAGCTTTATTGAAGATTTGAAGCAACCAAAGCTTGGGATACACACATCACCATCAATTCTCAACAAAACAAAAAAAGTGAACACTGAAGCGCTAATCCCATCATCTCAAGCCTCAATAACAATTAAGCCCTCCCACTCACTCTACATTGACTTGGAAAACGTCTTTCCTTTCTTCCTGCTTCACCTTCGGAACAGCTACCTTCAACACCCCATTCTTCATCTCCGCCTTAATGGAGTCAAGCTTGTACAGATTCGGGGGAATGTCCAGCCTCGTTGAATACCTTCTTCGTCCGTAATCCTCTCCATCGTTCTTCTTTGCGTCCTCGTCCACGGACTCACCTTTAATCAATAGCGTGTTATCCTCCACGCTGACCTTGACGTCGCCCTTGTCCAGTCCTGGCATGTCCATCTTGATGTAGAGCGCGTTCTCATCCTCCCGCACATCCCAACCCCTCCTCGGCGCGGCGGCAGGAACAAACCCGCCGAACGAGGCAGCGAGCGGATTCTCGAGGAATTGATCCATCATGTTTAACAGCTGGCTTACGCTCCTCGGGGGCGAAAGCGGATCGAAGGAATCTGGAGAAACATAACAGAAAAAATCACACCGTTTATCTCAACTGAAACCTAAATACCAAAATACGGAGTGATATGAAGGTAACCAAACGAAATTTAGGAGAAATTGGAAGAATATACGAACGACAGTACTTGCCTGAAAAGACGCCAGGGGAAGAGTCTCGGCGGCGAGAGACAGATCGGCCTGAGCGGCGTTCAACGTCGACGTCGCGGTCATCGTCCTCGTAGGCCGTCATCTGAGCATTGGTGTTGAAGGATTTGAAAACAGAAGGGGCGGCGGCTGCCTGACGCGCAGGGTTGACGAACTTGTTGAAGAGAGCAGATGTGGTGGCGGCAGCTCGCCTAATAGCCATTAAAGAAGCCATAGTTCTCTGTGATATTGAAAAGAGAGGAAATTGAATCGATTTGAGCTGCTTTAGTGCACAGTGAACTCTAAATTCCCTTTGAGATGGTTTGAAAATGGATGGCACGCCCCTATATAGTGGAAGTGAAAAACGGAAGGTGGCTTGGGGAAGGGGAAGACGATAGTTCCAGAGAGTGAAAATGAAGACTGTAGAATGTTCGGTTTCCGCTAGATGGTTCTAGACGTTATACTCCGGTAATAGATAAACGAGATTTATTTATTTATTTATTTTAAACGGCTATCGGGTCAGATTTACACTGGGAGAGGCTAATCCGCGTTCACCTGTTAATTTTTTATACTCCATTCACCCGTTCATCATCCATTAAAAATGATACACATCCAACCCATCCATCTTAAACGGGTTACCAGGTGGATCGGGTGAATTGCGGGTGAAATATAAATAGTCAAACTTGAGACAATAAATAATTTACAAAGAAAAATCATGACAATGAAAAATCAAAAATTAATAATTCATTGTAAAATAACAACAAAAACATGAGCAATTAAGTATATTACAATAATTAATTCACTGCGTGGCTACTCCGTTGTCCCTCGGAAATCGGAATCTCGGCTTTTCACAGTATCTGTCTAGGCGTCCACCTCCAACTCTCCAAAATAGGGCTAATGAGATTAGCCGATTAGTAATTCAGGAACATATACTCCGTAATATGTATATGGAGTAACATATATAGTATTTAAGTATCTAACTATGTATTAATATATTTATATTAACCATTATTATTATTGTTATTTATTAAGTATATGGAGTATAATATATATTATATATTTTTTGTATGCGGGTCAACGGGTGGGTGGATGGAACGGGTGACGGGTCGGGTAATGGGTTGGATGAGTCTTCATCCACACCTTATCCACCTCGTCTTTCAGTCCACCCGTCATTCATTTTTCATTCATACTACTTCGGGTTTTCGTCCATATTTTCGGTTCGGATTGACCGGGTATCCGCGGGTGCGGGTGCGGGTGAATGGGTGATATTGCCAGCCCTATCTTTGCTCATCTTTCTACTTATCTACATTCCTTCCGTGCTCCATTGCCTATTTGCAATTCGACATTTTCTTTGGATCAAACTAGAAAAATCTTATCCACATTTATATATGTAAATACAAATAGAAAATATATTAGTGTGTGGAATATTGGCAAATTCATTTTAATTTTTTTCCTTCTAAAATGCTAATTTATGATAATTTTAAGATAAAGTGCTTAACGATTGCGAATAAATATATGAATTGAATATATGACTGTCGATCATGTTAGGTCGGTTTGACATGACTCGCCATCCGGCCGAGAGCATTTGTGTCCCTTACCGGTGCAATTTTTTTCATAAATTTTTTTTGACCACATTTCATCATCAAGTCTAGTTTATACTTACGAAATTTCAGCTAAAAATTCAATGGAGAAGACAGTCAAATAAATTGTAGAAAAAAGTTGCATTATTTATATATAAGCACAGTTTTTATAAAAAAGTATTTAACTCCCTTCTCGATGAAACTTTAAGTTGAAATTTGGTATGGATAAAATAGACTTGATGAGGAACATGCTTAAAAAAAATTATCAAAATATTCTACCCAGAAGGACCTCGGATGACCTCGGCCTGACGGCAGTTTCAATCAGACCAGTCTGATATGATCTGCCCTCTTATACAAATTGATTATATTATCTCTTTCAATTTTCGGGACTACTTTATGTTCACTCGTACTTTAATTAAAAAGAAATGAGAAGTTAAAAGGAAAAAGGACAAATTAAGACAACAATTAGGGACATATTCAGAAATTTGGATTGTATTGGATTAATTAATTGAAGATTAATATACTAGACTTAAATAATAACAATGTGGGTTAAATATGAAAAATGAAAAAAAAAGTTATACTTAAAAATTTGAAAATAAAAACTACTATGTGTTTCAATCTTAGATAGCCCTATTATAATCCCTCCTTCGTTAACAACTACTATGCATATAATAAATAATACTACGTAACTAACCGAGGGGCATAGCTCACCTGGTAGGAAGGGAGTGTCACAAGAGAGAGGTCTCGAGTTCAATTCCAAGCAATGACTTGGGATAAAGTCTCACTCTCTTTTCATTAGAGTGAGATCAAATTTCAATTTACATTCTCTCAGTTAGTTGTCCGATCGAAGTTGGGGGAGCCTCAGGGATGTGGTGTCACCTTTTTTTTTAATAATACTACCTAACTACTATATATCACTTGATTTAGGTTTTGTTTGGTAGATAATTGTAAATTTATGAATATTTTGATTAGCCAAATTAGTGTATATTTGACACGTACAACTAACAGAAAAAATATTTTTGTAAGTTTTTTTAAAATAATTTTAGCTTTTAGTGTAAGGAAAACGGTTGTAACTGTTTGATAAAAATTGACTGTTTGATTTTGTTCTGTTTGATATAACAAATTGTATTGTTGTTACTAATTAATGTTAAAAGCTATAAACTTTCTCTCATATGCTACTAAATGTTCTAAACAAATCTCTTATTTGGAAAAAGGTCTTACAAAATATCCTGACAAACATACAATTATAAGTTTTTTGAAACTTTTTAGTACAAAGTTATAAGGCAGAGATTTAAGACGGAGATTTATGTCTACCAAACATCCACTTAATGGAACCCATTTGTAAAAAGATCTCATTATTCAAAAGTGAATATCATTGATTCAAATTTTTAGGGTTTTCCGAAATTATTTTTAATATATTATGACTAAAAGTAGTCCTACTCACTTTATTAGTTTAAAATTAAATACTGGTATAGATTAATATTTTTAGACTCACTCTCATAAAGCATACGCTAAAAAATCACATGTAAGCAACCTTTATTTGAATCATAAATACATAATTATTTCTTGAAATTTTATCACTGTCTCACATTTTTAATTAAAATCCACCATCGTGTTGGAGCATTCACAGATTCAAGTGTCTTTCCGTTTTTACTCCAAAAAAAAAAAAGAAAATACGTATTTATAATTAATATAAAAAAATTATGTATTTATAATTAGGATTATTAGCTAAATATATCTCCAACTATCAACAAATACATAAATATGTTTCATACTTTCGCTTTTACTAAAAAGACTCAAACTTTGATTTTTCTCACAATTACAGTTTCAATGAATGAATTAGTATAACTTCAGAAGAAAATCATATTTATATTTCATATTTTCACTTCTTTCTAGTTTTAAGTTTACAAACTTGTATTGTTATATCATAGTTATAAAAATGTGTAATTTTGAGAAAACAAAAAAGAAAAGCATAATTGTTTATAGAATTGTGACTTCTTAAATGTAATATAATAATGTTTATTTTAATCATCGTCATGACAATATACTACAGCAAGTTTTAATCACATTTTTATAAATAGATTTTATTTCAGTCATATTTTCTAAAAAAAGATTTAAAAAATGAAAAAAAAATATTGAAAAGATTAACACAGAAAGGGTGGTGTTTTATAGTGCTTTCACTTTTTCTTTTAGACAAAAGAAAATTATCAATTCTGTTCATAAAAATAACCAATTTTTACCCTCGAACACTTTGTATAATCTATAATACGATAGTATAAATCAATTCTTAAAAGTAAAACAAGTACTCCCGCTTACTATTGCTTCCATTCTTCTTTTTGTATTTGTATCTTACTTTTAAAAGAAAACAATTATATCTCTGTCAATGTATTTCATGTAGCCAATGTTAAACCCATATCATTCTAATTGATTCCTAAAGTGGTTTGTATTTTTTTTCCTTTTCACCTTATGACCTGTTTGTTTGGGAGTTAACTCCGTTTGTTTTGCAACAAAAACTTAAGTTATGTGTTAACCTTACTTAATTCCTGAGAATCTGGAAGAATCTTAAATCGAAGAACCTCCGAATCGGGGGTTTTGGATGTTAAGTTCAAAGTAGAGTACCATCATTCAAACAATATTTATATATACTAGATTCACCTTCTATATTTCCAAACACTATTTTACGTATAGATCTAAGTTCACTTAGATTAATCTATTGAGTTTCTCCCAAGCTTCTAGGGTTTAGATTGATCTAGGTAGAATTCGATAGAGGAGCAATGACTTGTGAGAATAGAGTAATTGCCCAAGGTGATCATGTTTCCAGTTTCCTAGCATATCATGGAGGCAATTCGGAGACAAGAGAAATGTGTGATATTTGGGAGGTGTGCATTAAGAGTGGAATTTGTTAAATTTGACCAAGAAGTTGCTTGATCAAAAATTCAAAATCTGCCTGTTACACAACCCCGAGGGGAAGACATATACCTCACAAAGTCCTATAATCCAAAAATGTTTATTTTTGAATTTTGAGAAACCAGAGATCGGGATTCAACATAAATTCTCAAAAGAATAAGTGAACACTGAGGGGCAATCCCATCATCTATAGCCTCAGTGACAATTAAGCCCTCCCACTCACTCTACATTGACTTGGAAAACATCCTTCCTTTCTTCCTGCTTCACCTTCGGAACAGCTACCTTCAACACCCCATTCTTCATCTCTGCCTTAATGGAGTCGAGCTTGTACAGATTCGGTGGAATGTCCAGCCTTGTTGAATACCTTCTTCGTCCATAATCCTCTCCGTCGTTCTTCTTTGCCTCCTCTTCCGCCAATTCGCCTTTAATCAATAGCGTGTTCTCCTCCACGCTGACCTTGACGTCGCCCTTGTCCAGTCCTGGCATGTCCATCTTGATGTAGAGCGCGTTCTCATCCTCTCGCACATCCCAACCCCTCCTCGGCGCGGCGGCAGGAACAAACCCGCCGAACGATGCGGCGAGCGGATTCTCAAGGAATTGGTCCATCATGTTCAATAGCTGGCTTACGCTCCTCGGGGGAGAAAACGGATCGAATGAATCTGCAGGAATCACAGAAAAAATCACACCGTGTTTCTCAATTGAAACCTAAGTATACCAAAATACGGAGTAATATGGAGGAAACCAAACGAATTTTAGGAGAAATTAGAAGAATTCACGAACGGTAGTACTTGCCTGAAAAGACGCCAGGGGTAGAGTCGCGGCGGCGAGAGACAGATCGGCCTGAGCGGCGTTCAACGTCGACGTCACGGTCATCGTCCTCGTAGGCCGTCATCTGAGCATTGGTGTTGAAGGATCTGAAAACAGAAGGAGCGCCGGCTGCCTGGCGCGCTGGGTTGACGAACTTGTTGAAAAGAGAAGATGTCGTGGCGGCAGCTCTCCTAATAGCCATTGAAGAAGCCATAGTACTCTGTGAAATTGAAATCAGAGGAAATTGAATCGATTTGAGTTGCTTAAGTACACAGTGAGCTTTCAATTCTCTTTGAGATGGTTTGAAGTGGAATGGCACGCTATTTTATACTGGAAGGGAAAAGCTCAAAAGCGGATGGTGGCTTGGGGAAGAGGAAGACGATAATTCCAGTGTGTTTGAGAGTGAAGACTGTAGAATGTTCGGTTTCCGCTAGATGGTTCTAGACGTAACCGGTAGATAAACGAGATTTTACTTTTAATTTTTTAAGCGGCTAGGTGTCTCGGATGTACTCCTCCCCAAAAGATTTGTCAAATTTTCTTTTACATATTCCCAAAAAGTTTTGTCATTTCCATTTGAAGTAGGGTGGGTATATATATGATTAAAGTTAATTCTCTCTTTTCTACACAAATTTCAACTACATTAATTTTTACTTTATTAATTCACGTGAAAATCAAAATTGGCAAACCTGTTCGGGACGGAAGGAGTATATGACTAAAAAAATCATGGCACTTATTAGTGTACCCATTTTTTAATTTACACACTTTTTAGTTAACACTTTTTAGTGTACACGCATTGTGTATGTTTTTGTATGTTAATTGGACTTGGTGTACACCTTTTTCAAGTGTACACATTTTTACACATGTCAATGTAGAATTTCTTTTTTGTTTTGTACAGACAAAATGTATGCTGCCAGACAAAAAATATGTACACCTAAAAGTGTGTATAAAAAGTATTTTTGTTCTAACATTTTATTTGGATCAAAGTAGTAAAAACTTATCCACATTTATGTATGTAAAAAAACATATACAAAAATACATATATCCGTGTGTGGGATATTGGTATGTTAACTTTATTTTTATTCTCAAATGTTATTAGTTGTTATAATATTTAATTTAGATAAACGAGCTTAAGGATCACAAATAAATACATATGTGAATTGAATATATTATGTAACCTCTTATAGGAATTGATTATCCATCTCTATATGTGACGAAGTGAAAATTTTGGTGGATTTCCTAACTAGAAAAATTCACAATCATGGGTAAAAGAATTGGTGTTGCATAGGATGCTTACAAAGCTTGGGTCTGCTGTGTTGGGTCGAGTGCAAAACTATGGCCCCGTTACATTTGAGCTTTGGTCTGACCAGGCTCAAAACAAAATTTTGCTAGCAGAAATCGATCCGAGATTATTTAATTATTTATTGTGCCGGCTAGCACATTAATGTCACTATTAGTTCAAAGATTGGGTCAAACCCATATAGTCTTTTGTTGTTGAACTTGTTGTAAACGTCTTGTCACTTTCTCTTTCAAGCTAGTTCTTATCAATACTGTTAGAACACCCGTGCGATGCAGGTTGGAAAATTTCACGGTGTAATTAATTTTTTCCAAATTAAAAGAAACTTATAATTTTAATTGACTTATTTAGGATTACATTCAGCATAATAATAAAATTTGACATAATTGAAATATATCCAATGCAATTTACAAATTAACAGAGTCGTACACAAATTTTTATAACCCCACGGAATAGGACGCTATAAATAGAATTTGAAAACACGTTACATTCAAGCTAAATGTTATGAAACACTACTTCACAAACAATATTTTTTATTTCAATGCTCACACATTTTGTTATCGTTTGCAATTGGTTATTCTTGACACAACAACATAAAGTTGGTCATGACTAAAAACATGTTTTTCAACTACAAACCACACGCGATGATTGTGACTTTTATTTATAGTCATGTCATTCATTAGAGCATCTCCAATGTTAAAATGTGCACGGTGCACACGTGACATGAGAAATAACCACATAAATATTAATAAATAAATTCTTTCATTCCTTATTTGAATGATTTTATACAGTTTTGGTAAGTTTTTCTCTACAATGTCAAGGAGACCGTCTAGATGTTGACATTGTTGTTGACATTGCAGGGAAAAACTTACCAAAATTGTATAAAATCATTCAAATAAGGAGAGAAATAATTTATTTGCTAATATTTATGTGGTCATCACTCATGCCACATGTGCACCGTGCACATTATAGTATTGGAGATGCTCTTATAAGTCATACTAGTATTTGGGTATTATTGCATTGGATATTTGAAGCCAAACATATGAAGGTGTTAAGGAATGCATGCGAATTAACACCTTTTATCTCGCAAAGATGGATAACTAAAATAATGCAAAAGTAGAAGTTTTTTAGAAAAACACAAAATATTATCATTGATAAGATGCCTTTTAGCTTTTCTTCCTGAACTAACTTTCCAAAAAAACACATTTGACAAAGGTTAAAACATATATCCAACACTACTTAACTTTTCAGTTTCTATAGTCTGGTTCAAACCAAAAATATATATATTTCGGTACATATAGCCGCAATTAAATAATAATTATTATCTCTTTATACATTTCATTATTTGCAATGTATAATTGTTTAACAGATTTTAACAAATATCGCAGATTTAATGACATTTAAAATACTTATAATGCAAAACATTATTTATTTTAAAATATTACTTCTTTCGTTTTTTATTAACCGTCTTGTATTATTTCCCAGATTTAAGGACGTTTTTATTATTATCCCTCTTTTCCTTTTTAGCAAGTTTTTTCAAGCAAAATAAATTTATACCTCCGGTATTATTACCTTACCCCTTTTTACTTTTTACATACTACCTTTTTTTTCCTTTTCTTAATATACTATTTTTCCTACTTTTTCATTTACCTTACACCATTTATTTTACCCTAGCTACTGTTTTCTTCTTAAAAAACACAAAAAACTAAGAGAACTGTTAATTAAGAACGGAGAGAGTATTAGACACTAGAATCTCATCCAATATTAATTCAACAATCCTACCCGAAACCATCATGTTTGTTCCAATTTAACGTCTCCCACAAATTCTATTTGGCCCAGAGTCTCCCCTCCCAAATAGGGATCACAATTGCTCCTATTGGGAGAGAGCACTCCACACACATCCATCCATCCCATATCCTTTCACACACCACAAAAAATTGAACATCATCCCAATATATACTATCATGAATGATATGCACTAGTTTGTAGTGCATAAATGTATATATGTTTTTATATTTATTCTGTGTGGATTGTTTACCGTTTTTAGTTAGTTTTTAAGCAATCATCTTCATTTGTTTGTAATTGATTTTAATCATTTTTAGTAAGTTGTAAAGTAGTACTAGAGTTATTGGCAAGGAAAAGAAGTGAAAAGAAGAAGAAAAATATCCAGGTGCACAGACCTGGCCGGGTCAGACACTTCACCCGGTCGGGTCTGATTTAACAGATGCAGGTACTCAGGAAATTACATCACCCGGTCGGGTGAGGTATTTCACCCGGTCGGGTCCGACTTGACCCGGAACACCAGAACGTGCCGAAGATCGCCAGAACGTGTAGGATATTTGATTTTGACATGCACCCGGTCGGGTGGGCACTTTACCCGGTCGGGTACCCGGCCAAAGGTGTTGAAAAACACCTATAAATAGCCCCATTTTCCTTCACAAATAATCATCCCTTCTTCCATACTCTTAAGCTCAGTTTAGAATAGTATTTCTTTTATATTTTTATAGCATGTTTAGTCTCCAAATGAGGAGCTAAACTCTTCCATCTTGGTTTTGCTCCTTTGAAGCTTAATGAATTTGTAAGTTGTGAGTTATTATCTATAATCTTCTTCCTTGAATATTAATTCTTCCTTTAAATACTATTTCTATATCAATGTTAGGGAGTGTTACTAAGATGACAATTAGTTAACATCTTGACATTAGTTATAGTAATAGTTATTTCTTCCTCTACGTTAATATCGGGGAGTGTTACTAAGATGACAATTAGTTAACATCTTGATATTAACTATAGTAGGATTCATCTTCTTTAATATTCTTCCTTGAGTATTAATTAATTCCTATTCATATTTCATGTTAATATTTTGAACATTACTTAAAGGATCAACTAGTTTTGTTTCATATATTAATTAATACGCTTGTTATTAATTCGGTCCTTTCACGGTAGTAAACTTGGATTATTAATGCATGCATCTCATGGTTAATAATCGAAGGGGAATTAATTACATTGATTAACCAATAAACCGCTTGTGTTGAGGTTATCAATCTCAATCGTTTTCATCTTAAGTTTATTGCTACTATCAAGTTAATATACGGCGCTTGTTCTATATTGACTCGATAGTAAGTTTTATTAATGAACGCATCTCGTTATTAATAACTACCCTCGATGAACTGGATATTGTCACGCCCCGGACCGCGTCCGTGCCACGTAGACAACCGCCGTACAACCCAATAAGAACAACGTAGTCCATCCTTATCAAATCATACAAGGCGTCCGTTAAGTTCTATTGCCAAGCCGATTAGTAAACCCATACAATCAACATCAATATATATTGGTCAAACAAATGCGGAAAATAAGAGATGTTTGATACTTAGCCACACATGGCAAATACGGGCACGCAGGCCCCCCAAATGTTTTAATGGGAAAACATTGTTAAAAACATCCATGAGCAGTTTATAAATTTTGAATAAGAATGGAAGCACGAACCACGTCTTCCTCCTTGATCAATCACCCTTGACGAAGGTGCAGGTAGTAGGACTCTAGCCTCAACCTGAAAAATGTGAGGGCCCCCGAAGGGGTCAGTACTCCATAGAAGTACTAGTGACAAGCAGGCTATATGAGGAATAACTAATGTTTCAGACACGAGACCCAAAAATAGGGTGATACATACATTTATAGGTGTAACCATTGTTACCCCATTCCCAAGATAATACATACTGTATATACTTGTAAAATACTTGACCCGTAGGTCGTTTTATCACAAAGAGTCTTTTAGAGGTATGGCGATTACCCAACCTTTCCCATTCATTCCTGAATGCCTAGCTCACGGGCTACATTCTACCTTCATAATATCCTACCGAGTTTCAGGAGTGTTTACCCTCCCGGGGATGCTCAACCCCACCGAGTTTCTGGGATTGTTTACCGTCCCGAGGATACTCAACCTCACCGAGTTTCTGGGATTGTTTACCGTCCCGAGGATACTCAACCTCACCGAGTTTCTGGGATTGTTTACCGTCCCGAGGATACTCAACCTCACCGAGTTCTTGGGATTGTTTACCGTCCCGAGGATGCTCAACCTCACCGAGTTTCTGGGATTGTTTACCGTCCCGAGGATACTCAACCTCACCGAGTTTTGGGATCATTTACCGTCCCGAGGATGCTCAACCTCAACCTTATTTCTAACCAAACCCTAACCTGGATAT